CATAACGTTACAATTACCTTAAGGCTACACTTCCACTACAATGCTTTACTATTAGCACATACACATACCCTCTTGCTGTTTTTCTTATGTTCAAAGCTTTCTTTACTTTCTTTACCGACCCAGTTACAGAACCGGAGCTCCTCTGTTTTGGTATGTTTTCTTGGAATTCTCACCTCGTTCGCAGGTGATGACCACTCAATTTCGTAGTACGTGAGATATAAACGGGCCAATCGGTCGAAAATCGCTCTGTTGTCTTTGAACTCATCACGCTGAAAAGAAAGCAGTTCATAGTCGAAAGTACAAGGATAAAGTCTGTATCTGAGCGAGTTCGCTAAGCCAAATGATCTGTAATTTAACTCATATTTGACGCAATAGAAACAAAAACAAAAATAATTGGCTGCAGACGTAGCGTAGATCCTTTACCTTCTCGAAAATTTTGGTCCTGTCTGGACAACAGCCTTCGTGCAGTCCCCCTAAGGGAAATATAAGCACTATTGTATCCTTTCCTACCCATATAATTAGAGCACTATTCTATCCTTTCCTACCCAATCTCCGAAACTTGTAGAGTTTTCTACCGAGATTTTTCTCTGTAAAGGCAAATTCGCATGGAAATCTGCTTCCGGGGCAGATGTAAGGCGAATTTGCCTTTAAGAGAAAGACGAATATCGCTTGATACGAAAGCGTCTAGCGCCCACGCCATAGGCGCAGCTCCAAAATAAGCTGAATCACCAAACTAGCTCGAAACCTATCTCCAGAAACAGCTTCAGCCTTAACATGCATATCACATCCGCTTAGCCCGAAACTGCCCGGCGTTCGCGGAACAGGCGTCGATGTGACATACCTGTTACGACTCCAGCGGTTGTAGTATGGACCGGGGCCGTTTCGTGCCAAGTTGTGAGCTGGGGCAGTGAGAGCAATTGGAAACGAAGCCAGGCAACATAGAACCCTTCCTGACCACCCGGGATAGTGATTCTTAACTTTACTATCTCGATGGAAGGGCGTGGACGAGAAGAAGTAGGCAGCACTGTAAAGTGATTGACTTTCCCTCACTCTTAACTCACTTGAACTTGAACTCATGTAGATGTGATACGTGTTCATGGGGTCAAACTACTTCTGGAATAAGTTTCCAGCAACCTTAACGACCACAGGCGCCTTGGTCTGAACGATTCTGTGCCAAACGGATTATCGGGATGAGGGAATCAAACTACCCGTGGAGACCAATTTCCAGAGGACTAAAAGTGGAGCTATAATGAGTGAACAGTTGATTTAGAAATTTGTGATGTTGTAGAGACTGAGCTTCAACTATTGGATCTCACTGCTTTTCAAAGGGTATCGGCAACACCGAGTAAAGCGATTGACCCATGTGCTTACGACAGATTTTCCAGTTTCACGATGCTCTGGTTGACGGTATCCTAGTTCGTATCAAATTTGAGTAGTAAGTGATAACTCACAGAAATCCACTGTTCATAGAGTTCCTGAAACCTGTCAGCGACACTCATCTCACTTCTGTCCAAAGCTTCTGTGGCGAACTGTTCTTCGATATCGTTCGTGCGAACTGTTTCTTCGATATCGTTCACAAAATCGAGCCAATCCTTAACAAGTGACCTGAAAAATCATAACACCTCGCACCTCACCTCTTCGAATTAACGTCACAAAGGAGAAGAATAATGTATTCTGATGTCGTCAACCCTCTTTGGGATACGCCATTGTGCAGAGATCGGCCATGTGTGACGCGAAAGGTGTGCTCAGCAAAGCTTTCCGGACCACCTTTGTGAAAGATATGTGAGTTCTGTGTAATCAAAATTAGCTCACTTGATACCATTTTTGCTGCTTCACGCGAGTTAGGAGCTTAACCAGAAAAGGTCTAGAGAAATTGCACATTGCTCCTTCCAAGCAGTGCCTACGCTATGCATCTATTCCATTCAAATCGCGATAGGCGATAAATATTGATAGTCTAAGTGCGATTTTGGCACAAATTAAACTGTGAGGAATTTATAATTCCCGGTTCTTGCACTCGTGGACAAAACTCTATGCAAAGCGAGTAGGGGGTGGTAGGGGTTAAATGGTTGGCTTGGACAGATTGAGCCCCCATATTCGAGCTCGGGACCACAGGCACAGTAAGCACCGACTACCCTCTCACCCTCGTGAAAGGCCACCATGTGATAAACTTGGGTAGAACTATTTTCACAAGAGGTAAGAAAGATAACATGTAGATAGGACCCGTATGCGAAGTCAAACGTGTAAATGAGCTTCATTTGAGCAGGGCTTCTCAAAGTTCTGCCGCATCAGGAAAAAGAACAAGAACCTCATCAGCCCTTCAAAGACACTTCCATGCAGAGCCAGGCCTACCACTGTGCCCCTTCATCGACGCGCTTCTCCACTTTGCCTTTGAAGAGGCGGAGACTATCAATGAGAAGAGAGGATTTGTGTTGGAGCTTTGCCCATACGTTAAGCGCAGAAGATGCTTTCATGTTAGAGAACCAGTGCCTACAAAACCGAAGAATTCTTTTTGAAGCTCTGGCGACCTAAGGCATCTTTGAAATTTTGGAACTGTCAAGTTTCTATGAGAGTGAAATTCTTCAGGATCTCATTATGCGTTTTTATTAAGTCGTGATCTGTTGCTTTCAAAACAAATGAATGCTCCAGGGAAAGCAAATTTTCGTTTCACTGCCTACCCATGTGACTCTCTTGTGAAAGCAGCAGTCACGTATCGCTTTTACTTGTGATTCTGCCTATTCCTATCATAGAGGTAATTTTTGGGTCGTTTCGAGGCACTTCGACATCGAAGGACTATAAATGGTCCATGAGTGCTGATGAGCCACGCCCACTGCAAAAATCTTTTGGTCACGTATGTACTCGAAACGGTACGAATTTTTTGAAACAATTCAGTCTTGGGGAGGAATGTATGCTTTTTCTGTCATCGGACTGTGGTTCGGTGTGACGGTGAATCCAAGCTGATTTCGATGGAATTCGGCTGCGAATCCACTTTCTCAAGCTTCTAAAGTGGAAGTGATGTTATTCCTGAACAATTTTTAGAGTATGTACTGGGCTCTTGAGCTTTGTTTTATTTTTATGTCGATTATTATGCTCATTTCCATGTGTTTTTGCCTTATTTCAGGCATTTATTCAAATGTACATTCTCTGAGCTTCATTCAGAATCAGTACAATTTAGAATTGTTCAAAATAACTCACCTTTCACTTTCGAAGCTTGAAGAGTTGAAAAAGTGGGAATTCGCAGCCGAATTCCATGGAAATCAGCTGATTCGCCGTCACCGAGCCGCAGCCGCTGTCGCGTCACATTTCTAGCACGGCTGTGCCGCCCCGGACGCAGTCCGTAATGATGAGGACTGTACTTGATAACAGTGTACAGGTCTACGAAGATGTGACGTGTAACTTAACAGCAACTATTACAAATAATCAGAGGAAAACAAAACGTCCCTCCCAAGCCGAACTGCACCTCATTTCTATCTTTCTCTCTTGTATCTCGAATGCATCAGACAGAGCTGTCCATCTGACTGCCTCGTCTATATTTTTTATGCAGGCTAGGCGGGGCCTACCCTTGTGCCTCCCTCACTGGTACCCTCTCTTCAACCCTCTTGAAAGGGAGAAGAGCACCTTCAGTGAAGTAGCTGAGCTCGGTCTTTCTCCGCCTCTACGATCGGCGTGTCATGTGCCCTTTCATTGGATTGCTCGTTTGAACATAAATCTTTTCAACCAATGCCTGAACACCTACTTTTCAATTTTCTTCCCACTGAATCCATAGACGACATTCGTACAGAAGAGATCAAAGTCTCTGACGTACTGCACAGTCAGTTGCTTTTCATTTGCTATCCGAAAAATCTCGTTGTTTTCTCCATTTATGAATTCCGCACCATGCTGTAGCCATCCATCCTCTGAATGCATTAATTACGTTAATTTTAATGCAAAATGTGCGGTAACAACTAAGAACTGCTGCTTCTTTTCACTTGTTCCGCGAATGAATTACAGCTTCGAGACGGAGTTAGACCCCACGCAAGTAAACCCGGGATTCCAAGGTAACTCAATAAATACGGGAAGCAGCGGGGCGGCCAAAGAGGCGTTCCAATTGGAATCGCATCCGCGACATTCGCACCACGATTCAATCGATTGAGTGTGACCACTTGCAGTTTTAGAATTGAATCAACGGAAGATTAACTCATATCAAGCATTCTGAGCGCCAATGAGGATCATACAATCTTGTTCGCT